TCAGTATCTTTAACATCTATAGCAAATGCTGCAGCTCCCTTTCTGAGTGCATATCTTAAAATTATTAAGTAAAAAGATATTCACAAAGTGCTAACTTTCACATTAGTAGTTAAATAGATGTTCAAAAAATGAATTTCCAGCTACATTATAAACTGTGCATTTGGATTACCAAATCTATGTTGTAAAGACAAACAAATGCTTTTCTTGGACAGATGATCACATTAATTAATAGCATCTAGACATCATAAGTAAACATTAAAGCATGTTCGGAGTAAAATTTATTTTTGCCTCAGCTTAAATTTTTTTGCTTTAAACAATGTGTAGTGTGTACAACTTAAAAGATTACCATTTATGGACCAAATACAACTTATCACATTCATTTATAGGATGCCACTGGTAAAAGAAGGATACTCTCTAATCCCAAGTACACTGTTATGGTTCTCCATTGTATACATAAAACTGCTCTGATTGCACCATGGAAAGGTCTCCCCGACAAGCTTCAAAGCCGATGTTGCCCCAGAAGTAAATATGCAACTGTACTCTCTTGGGGATGCGTTAAAGAAATCAAGCACCTATACCCAAAAGCATAAACAATACAAAAGAAGCAAAAGACTAGAATTACTTCACAATCTACTCATTGAACACACTTATTGGTAAGCTGGTAGCAACTCTACTTTACCTGCTGCCGTGCTTTTTGAACACAGTCACTACTACTCAAGCTGCAGCTGCTTTGGCTATCTATTCAATTGATTTCATTTACTTAAGGAATCCACTTATCTATCCAGTGAAGACCAGCCAAGAGAAATAGTACATGCATTCATATGATAATTTTACTTTAGAATACATGAAGATCATAGGGTATTTAGAGAAGTAGAAAAAAGTAGCTAAAAGTCCAATCTTTATGAAAGACATCAAACGGAAAGGATTTTACTAAAAATTCTTGAGGTTAGCAAATTGTATCACTACGAGGTAATTGATGGACAATAAACTAAATTAACACTAAAAATATTGTTCATCAGTAATGAACTAGGTACAAAGAAACACAAGGATTCAGGATACGAGGATTTCCATAAACAGTGGAATTTAGTTGTTTGAGAATTGCTTCCATTTGAGATTCCGAGTAGAGAGTAGCTCCGGCATGATCCAAATGCACAACACCTACAGAACTCTTAAACTCATCATTGGTTTATCCTATCCATAGTCTACTCACTATAATTGAAAATTTTGTAGAAGCTGCGTCCTTTAATCCTTCATCATCCTTTATTGTTCATTTCAAAGATTTTCCGGCACGAGAAAAAAATAAATAAATAAAATACTGACCATCCAAACGCTTGAACTCGGTGGCTCTAATCTGGTCTATATTTCGAGGGGCATTTGGATAGCCGTAATCCTGGCCGAACTCCTCCAAGAAATCTTGTTTCTCTGAGAACACCGCCATAACACGCAACAGAGAGGAGAAGTAATTTACTGAGTCAGATGACAAGCGCAACAAGGAAGAAGATCTCTGAAGATGACCACTGAGCAGCAGAACATTCAGAACTCAGAAGAAGACGGTACTGCCGTATTTTTCTTTGCACGTGCTCCCCAATGGGCTCCTTCAAATCATGGACTACTTTTATGGGTATATTTGCAATTTGGGTTCGCCTTATCAGATGCCCATTTATACTCTTCAATCTTCATTACTCATGGGCTGGATGTTAATTCGATCCAATATTTTTAATTCCAAATTCAAAATTAAATTAGATCAGACTATTTTTTTTTTTTTTTTGAGGCCCTAAACCAAGATCAGACTATATATGGTTTAAAATAGTATTTGATGGGCGCACGCAATTCAGCCGAATTTGTTGGGCAATTAACCTTGTAATTACATGATTTTTCAAGTTTGAATATTCTCGACTTAAATCATTATAAATAATTTATGTTTTTTGAATGCTAGTGGCTCTATTACAATGTAGATCTGTTCATATACTTTATCAACCTATTGAAACACAAAGAACCAATAATACATTTACTAGAGGCTCAAACTCACAACCTTCTAAATAGAAGTCCAACCCGGATACCATTAGACCACATAGTCTTGGTATAAATAATTTATGTTAGTTTATCTATTTTGTGGTTCTTTGTCTACTAAGGTCATAAAACATGTTTTATTGTCTTGAATTGATCAATTAGATATAATTTAAGTTGGATTACTTTATTATATTGTAATTCTTTACCAATTAAGGTTACAAGACAAACTTGAATTGGTCAATTATGTATAATAATCTAAGTTAATTTATTTCATTGTGCTTCTACATCAATAATGTTATAAGAAAGACTTGACTTATAAAGCAATTTCTTTTTGTAATTCAAAGTAAGGGTCACGTGGGTGATGCAAATGTGGCGTAGGTAGTTTGATCTAATTGTGTGCCAAATTAAGGATCACAAAATGGCACAAAAATTCAACTGCCCTATCGCCGACAAATCTATTGTATACACAATACTTATTCCACAAAACAGTTGAAAAAAATGCATGATAAGACATCTACATCTCCATCATCACTTCACTAAATAGTAATTTATGTCACTTGATCATACATACATACATACATGCTTTATTTTAATTCAAGAATTTAACCCTAACCCTAACCCTATCTCTCTTCAAGGGCCACTGGTGCTTTCATTCTCCTCCTTTCCTTATTATCTATAATCATTCCTTTGTCTCCCACGAAAATGACCCCTTTTAATTTATCATTCCAATTTTTTTCTCCAAATAAATTTAATGTGATCACATAGACAAATTTTGTTTGACATATTTTAATTAGCTATCAAATAGTAAATTATTTAATTATCAAATAATTAAAATACATTATGTCTTCTTTTTTTTTTTTGGTATTATACCGACTACTCGAAGCATGAATTATGATGGATAGGAAGTTGGACATCTATAGATGTATATATGGATGGGAGGATTTGAAATGATGGAGACATGATAGTTGAATGTAATTATTAGGAGTTTAATATATATAATGTGTGTCTATAATAAATTAAATTATTAATGAAGACCACCAACAAAGAATGTTAATTGATTAATGGGGACATTTCATGATCATCGGTAGTGGCTTCCTACGTACGATAGAATGGTTGCTTGTGACTCCCATTTTTGCAATGCCAACTCTCAAACATATAATATTAATTAGCTCGCTCCCATTATCTAAATGCCAAGATGTCACGAAATAGTAGTACAAAACACCCACTTGTCTTGAGTCTTGACTTTCTTGCCAATCAACTATTTACTTATTCTATTGGTTAGGGCATTATTAAATTAGTTGAACAGTCATACTTTTAGTCCTCAAAATTTTGTGGGCAATAGTTCGTTGTCTTCTTATGTATGTTCAAATGTTGTGTTATGTTCTAGATGTTATAAAGAAGATTGTGTGGTGTGGACGTGTGGTTGAATTTGTTTCGCTAAATACAAAATTTTCTAATGGAATTGCTAATGAATTTGTTTTATGTGAGTATTATTTTTCTAATTTTCTTTTTGTTGTATTAAAAAGGAAAAAAGTATGTGCTCCAATATTCAAATGTTGGATCACTATTTATAAATAGTGTATTCTCATCATGTATTATGCAGTTAGGGGTGGATAATGTTACATATAGGTTTATATTATTATTCTCTTTTTAATAATCCAACCGATGCTGGAATGTAAATTTTATTTATTTTTAAATGATCAACGATTACTGGTCTATAACATATTGTTTCAGTCATAATTTGCATGCAGTTTTAATTTATTCTCTAAATTGATAAAGACAGTTAATTAGTTAGCTTTCATCATATCAACTAGTAACCAGTAACAATAACAAATGGCCAGCACCCATTTAAAAATCATTATTTAAATTTAACAAAACTAATATAAAAAAAAAACTAATTAAAAATAATAATAATTCTATCCTGATAGTGTAAAGAATACAATGACTATTCAATAAAATTTAAAGATGAGAATAAAATCGTTATTCTTCAAAAAATATCTAAACATAACCACAAATTAAAGAAAAGGGTATATATATACTTTCCCTAACAATAAAATTAAAATATAGATACTAACATCATACACCAAAAAGCACAAAATTAAAGGATGCCGCAGACTATATAAATAAAATAAAAAATGCAACACCCCACTATCTAGTAGCTAGTAGCTATTTATCTCGGAGGAATCCTCTGTTAAATAAAGAAGGATCGGAAGACTGATCATTTGCGCCATAAAGTAATTATAAGACGACGGCTGCTGCGCTGCTGGTTTCTATCTCGATCGTCTTCTATAAATTAAAGCAATGATTCATATTATATTCCCATTATATATTCTTAATTTTTAATAAGGTTGTTTTCTGGTTTCCTAATCTCGCACGTAAGTTAATAATTAAGCACGCAATTATCTTACTGCAAACACTGTTTAATGTATACCATCCAATAATTACATACGGATACTTTACTTTGCTAGCTAGTTGAGGTCCTATGATTCCGTCCTATATATAAGAATTGATGCCATATACGTTTGTCATTGTACCTACATCTATCTATCTATCTACTAAAGCTCTGATATGATAGATTCCAAAGGAATTTTCCTTTTTTTTTTTTCTTTCGTTTATTTATTATTCCTATAACCTTATCATGTTGGCTTTGCTTCACTCATATCTAGGAGCATATAAATGTTTTTGAAATAAAGATATTATTAACTTCTGCTAATCATAGAAAGATGAGGATTATATCAATAACTCAAATTCATTTAGTTTACGTACAAAATATATTATTTGAAATAACTTATTAAAGACGCCAGGCTGCATGCAGGCATATATATAAGTGGCCATTTATTAATTAAAAAGCATATATATATATATATATATAAATTTATAATGAAGTTGAAAAATTATTGTACAATTGATATGATGTATACATACATAGCATAACTCATCAGCTATAGTGATGGATTTGATCCAACATTATGTTGTCATGAGTCAATCAGTTAATATAATGTGGACCGCATATCATCAATTAATTATATATGCCGGAGAGTACATAATTGTTGGCTAATATAATTGGCCGGACTAGACTACTACAATGGTGTACAAAATTAAACATAAATTCACATGCATCATCTCATCCGCTCATGAAGCAATATAATTAATTATATCATGAAAAATTGACGAATTGGGCATCGTATGAGCCACCTATATATGGTATATACATAAGACTGGTGATGGCCTCTTCCAACCACTCCTCTTCTTCATCCTGCTTTGCCTGTGTAAATTATATTTAATAATTAAAAAAACCCCATTAATCAATTTATAATTGTATTAATAAAAATTAAGAATAAATATGTAGGTGGGTATATTATATGACTTTTTATACACACACACACACATGCATGGTATTAAACGTAGGAAAGGTATGGTAGCTTTATTCGATACGATGGAGTTATGAATTAGAACTTATAGCTTTATATATTCATAGAAGATAGAAGATAGATATGGGTGGGCAGATCGAGCTGATCTAAGGGAGGGCGGAAAGATAGTATACCTGGAATGGATGATCGTAATATAAATCTTTTGTTTGGTGAACAATAATATTATTATCCCTGGACTTGATGACTATGTCATCATCCCCATCTCCATCCCCGCATATCTCATTATTCTTCGCAAACCTTCCTCGGACTCTCACGCGCTTGTCCGCTAAGGTTTTCCGACAGGCATACTGCATCATCATCATCATCATTATTGCTAATGAATAATAATAACAATATAATCAACTTCACATTACGTATATAATATTATTTAATTAATCTGCATATCCCATGCATGCAACCTAGCTAAACCCTAACTACCTCGTACAAATTAAAATATAATATAATACAGACCTTGATTGTTTTGTTGAAATTCCTTTGGTTTCTTTTCTTTAGGTATCGAAGAATTCTGTCCTTCCTTTCTTCTTCAGAGTACCTTCCTATCTTCATTGCCGGCTGCTCTTTTAATTTTGGACTAATTGCCTCCCCTTGTATTCCCTGTCCACCCAACCAATTCTTCAATTTTAGGTTATATAATTTAATTTGTAAATCAATATTATTATAAGGATCTATATATCGGAATTATTTATATATATATATATGTCCATGCACGTTTAATTACATACTATACATACCTCAATATTGTAGGAAGATGGTGGGCGCGTAGGGTACAAGGACCAAAAATTGGAGTCCAATAATCCATTATTGCATTCATCGCCAGACTCAAACAGACATCCATAGCCGCCACGGGGAGCAGGAGTACGAGAAAATTCACGGGAGCCGATGATACCACAAGCTGCAGGCGGCGAAGGCGACAGTAGCATGGCGGTGGGGAGCTGCTCGGAAACGTTGCCAAGTGGGTTGTGATGATGAGGAAACGTTGAAATGGCGGCGTCCATCATGTTAAGGTGCAGGGCGTTATTAGTAGTGTCGTAGGCGGTGCCGCCGGCGCGCGCTGCCGCAATTCCATCGGAGAGTATCATGGGAGTTGGCAACTGGCGGAGTTCACTGGGAAACATATGGTCAGAGCAGTATTGATGCTGTGGTGGAATGAAAGCCATTGATGGATATATATATATATATAAGAATTATATTGATAGAGAAATAAAGAAATGAATGTTAGTGTGTGTTAGTTAAGGATGGTTATATGTATGGGTTTTATATTCCATAAGTAGTAGTTATTTATAGCTGCTATATATTGGAAAGGAAAGGAATGCCTTAGCCCAAAGCTATTGTACATTTGCACTTGCTTTATGTCTCTTCTTTCACTATTTGGTATTCTATTTATGCCTATACATACACATATACATACATACATACATGGATGTGTTTCTACTACGTACTGTACCTAGTGTCTATTTTATTCATTCTGTTCTATTCTTCCTTCCCACTTCATTAATAAGTTGTGTTAATTTAAGTACATGCATGCATGCACCACAATCATCATTACTTATATGATCCTTAGCTTGTCAAATTATTTGAAGTGAAACCTTTTACATGGATGGCCAAACTTATTTATTTTTATCTAAAATTTGTTCAATTAGAAAAAGTTTAATAGAATAACATTAATTAAAGATGAAAATGTAAATTTCTTGCATAAATAAAATCATGGAATTGATGATGAACATATATACATAAATACACACACTACATCAGTACATAATTTGTTATTGAAACAGTACTCATGATTCTTTATGTGGTAGTATTTAGCTATTCTATACTTTCTCAATCTACTTTCAGTCCAAAGAATCAATTCCCTCACCACCGGGATTCGATCATGTGATCATCTATTTAGAATTGTAACAGATGTATTATCACACTTCGAGTATGTAGTTGGCGGCCAATACATAATTTAATATTATTTCCCAAAAAAAGAGGCTTTGGAAAGTGGGATATATAAGAACTGCGGATGGGAGAACAAAAAAAAAAAAGGATCGGATGGCATGATCGGCTAAACGAGTCTTTTAGGAGACAAAGACTGAAAGCCTGATGGAAAGGAATCTTCAATTGGATCAGTACTAATAATACTATAATCCTAAAACTATAAACATATATAGTTAGTTTGAACATACATATATACAATAAGATACTATTATGTTCAAAATGATATTGCGTGCATGTCATGCGCGCGCCTTTTTCAAACTTAGGCAAATGGTTATAAGCATATATTCCTAATGTCGTCCTGCATACAATTCCTTCCATCGTATCCCTATAAACCTACCAACTTTATATGTTAACAACATTGTATATTTATGTCTGTACTGTCTATATACATAATACATGTATATATAGAGTTAGCTTGTAGGAGAGGCATCCCCAGTCCCAGACCAGCACATGACTCTATGGAACATTTCATCTCCAAACACCTAGCTACTGCATGCAACACTACTACATATATATCTCTCTATCTTTTCATCCAGTATATTATATTGTATTATTCAATTCCTTTCATCATTTTTTGTTTTAATTTCATTCGATCTGCTACATACTCATCTCATCTTGTTAAGATTAATGAGATCAATAAGAAGCAATTAAAAACGTAACAATGACAAAAAAATAAAGAAGAATTTACGTGATTCGACAATGCCTACTTCGGACAATTGTTTTATTAATTATGATGATGATAAAATAACTAGAGATACATCTAACGTATTTATATGTAACTTTAAACATGTACATGTATATACAAAAAATACATATATTTGTAAAAGAAAATTAAATGGGGTTATATATGAGCATGACCATCGATGAGCAGACTATAGCTAGTTTCCACAAAAAGTGAAAGGCAAAACGTTCCAGATTCTAAAAGTACTACTTGATCGAAGTTGTAATTGATTCCCCAATAATCTCATCCAATCAAACTTTTGTCACCCGGCCACTTGCACAGTTGCACTTACACCACCCTTAGCTTAGGCTCATCACCTCCTTAATTAATTATTGTTACTTAATTGTTTCACTATTTCATCTTCAATTCTTTAACCACACTCCCATTTAAACTACATAATATATATGCTAGCTAGCTTTACCATGGCAATCCGACAGCATGTTTTCTTTTTCATTCTTTTCATTGCTCTCTTTTTCATATTCACATATATATAGTTAACTAGTCTTTTCTATGCGCGATGTGCAAAAACATATGCCCAATATTTATATTTTTAAAAATAACTAACAAATTTTTACTAATTAAAATCAAAGTGAAATAAAATTTATTTATTATATTAATCTAATATATAATGAATATATAATGTTTTACAAATATTGTTATAATTAAAGAATATAAGAAAAGATAAGGTAGATTCATGTGCATGGTAAGTAACGGAAAAGATAAACGGAAGTTATAACGGTAAGGGTATTTTTGTCCAAAAAATTGTATAGTACAACCCTAAAAGCACCATATACAAAATGATTAGCATTAAAAATATGGACATAAATGAGGGATATAACTTTGATTGAGACTTATTATGTTTTTAGATTAGATTCTTATTTATTAGACAACCTTAAGTAAGTTTTCAAGCCTCTAAAACACACCCACGTATATATATAGATACAATTAAGTATTTAGGCAACTCATAAGAATGCTACTTGTTTGCGGGCAAGCAGCAGTAATTTTAATTTATTCTTCTTCCCATAAAGGTTAAATTCCCAACCCCAACGGCCCCACACTCCCGCCCAATAGAGCATTTGGAAAGGTGTAAATCATGGTAGCTCAGCTGAACACATACAGAGACTAGATCTTTGCTTACTACGCAGAAAGAGCCCCTCACTTTGAGAGGTTGCTCCTACACTGTTGATGGTGAAACTTCATCCCTGATCATTCTTTCCAAACCTGCTTAATTTATTTATTTTATTTTTTTGTTAAAGTTGGGGTGATTAAATAATAAATAAATAATAGGGTATTGGAAAGCAGTACAGTGTAGTGATGGAAACAAGGTCAAACTATTCTTGGTATACATAAACTTGCTTTTAAAAGTTGTACAGCAGTTGCATTCAAAGATTTTCTATGGGAATTCCTAATCTTCCGGTCGCGCATCTAACTTCTTTTCATTCAGACATGATTTCAACTGATTTGATATTAATAGAACCTAATCCACCACAAAGTAAATAATGCTCAGATGGAATAAGGACTGGCAGTAACTCATTGCTAGCTACTTTTAATATATATATATATATATATATATATATATATATATATATATATATATATATATATATATATTTGTAGTCAAGAATTCAAGAAATCCCTATTCTGTGACCTTTTCTTACTCTTTAATCTTAAATTATTTTCGGAATCACCAACTATTATATTACTATTTAGTATTTACTAACCTCATTAGTCAAATGAGGTAATACAATATATATTTTAGAATCTTTTAACACTAAATATCTATAAATTTCAATATTCTTTGGAAAAGAGATGCATATTCTTTTCATTTATTTTTCAATAGTAAAAAAAAAAAAAATCCAATACTCAAATATTAAGACCGAATTGAGCAAAATCTTATAAAACAAGGCCCAATAAACTATTGCTGACATCTTACTTGCTTTGCAAAAATTAACAATTAGTATTTGAACTACTAATGAAATTGTAAAGTTAAAAGATTAAAATGTGTCATATTAAAGAGTTGTGAAATTTTATGGTTTAGGTGGGAACAAGGTCATGTTGGTGCATGTTGTCTGAGAAGTGAATCTTTAGATTAGATATATGAGGGGTAAAAGCTAAGGGTGGCAGATCCTTTATGTTTACTTTTTCCTATTCAATTGCATGTGGTTTTTAAACTTTAATTCTTTGTTGATAGACTGAGTACGGCATTCTTGTTCTAGTTGGGGCACACAGTATTCTTGTTTTATGTCAGATGTTAGTCTTGAGAAGGAACGAACGAAGCTCCATCCAAGATTTGTTAGATTTTCCAAGTACAGCTTCAATTCTTTGCACCCTACAGGGGGGGCATGTCAATCCCTTTCGTCAAAATAAGATCGCACAACTTTTCCTACTTCACATGCTCCTGTAAATTGTAAGTTATCTTTACTCATTCTCCATCGCCACAGCTTTTCTTTTACTTCTAAACCATTCTGTATTTCTGCACCCTCGGCCTCGATTAAAAGCTACCATACATAGAAACTTACATGTTTCCCACCTGGACTTTTGCCTATCAACATTTGAGAATGGAAACGGCTTTCAGTATGTAAACAATTTCAACCAAGAAATCAACTTCACAACTCTCATCAAATACCAACTATTTGGCGCCCCTACAGCTGCTTTCAGACTCACGGCAGCTAATGTATATACAGGAAGCCCGAATAAAATGGTAAACAATTGAAACACAACCATGTTCTTACATCATTCATTATCTTCCCAAATCTCTCGTGATGCAACTCAACAAGTTTTCTGCTCAAAAGTAAAGAATGTGTTATATCACCAGGTGTGGTTGAAGATTTTGGATAAGAATTTCTACCGTTGCCAAAATGAAACTGCAATCGTAAGTGTAAAATGTAAAGGGAGGGATAAATATACCTAGAACTAAAGTTCTATCGTGCACTGCGGTTAAGCAAGCCTTGGAACAATAGATAGAGATCCTTATTATCCTTGCCAAAAATCTCTTCTGCTTTTCTCAGAGTGTCCTGCAATTTTAGAAGAAATTATTAATTAAATTAGAAGCACTTGTTCAATAAGTGACAGTTAAACAAGAAATATCTAATGTTAGTATTTTTTTATTTTTTATTTTTTAAAAAGCATATTAACAAAAGAATCTAAAGTTAATCACCTCACGAGATTGCCTATGTGAATTAAATTCCTTTACATTTGCCAAAAATGCACTGAACTGCTCATAAGATAGACGACTCCTGCATCAACAAGAAACAGAAACTATAAGCAGAAAGCTCCCTCGAAGGTGCAAAAGGTGATTGAAGCAAAAACATTGGTATTCACCTGGCATGACGAAAGAATTCCTTCCCATCAATTCGCGGAGTTTGAGCTTTAAATTTGTAAAGGTAAAAGTAAAAAATATAGATTAAATTAGAGCACTATCTTTTATTCTGAACTCATCACAAATACAAACAGCTTATAATAAGAAAAGTATTAGTTGCAGACAACCCTTAATAAAATAGCTGGCAAAATTTTCTTCTCACTCGCAAGGGCAATTTGCAAGAAACCAGCCAATTACTCCAAGCATTAAACAGCACAGTATTGAAACTATTAAGTGTTCAGTAGTTACTTGTACCTGATATAGGAGGGCGTACCCTTGGAGGAGAGTTTGCTGCTGAAGATTGCTGGCTTGATGGAAAAAACGATGACATTGAACCCCGTCCTTCATATTGAAATTTGCTGGGTGAAGTGGTACCTGAGGTTCTATGAGGAGATCCTGCAGCAGAATACCGTCTAGGGGACACACTAGCAGATGCTACTTTTGGAGTTCCAGTTGGAGTTAGTCGAGGAGTTATGTAAGGTGTCACAGAAAACCTTTGAATAGCTTGTTTTGAGGCTGTCGATCAAAGAGTATTTAAAAAATTTAACATAATTTCAGTACATCACAATAATATGCAAACGAAATTAGTCTGTAACAATACCATCATCAGTGACTCCTGTGCTCTCTTTAGACCCACTATAGGGATGTTGTGTGATGTAGACATTAACAGCTTCATCTGAAAAGTAGAGCATTCAAGGTGACAGCCCATTAGAATACCAACAACTGAACCTAGACACATTTTCTAGTAGGAAAGACATGTATCGCTGTTCACTGAACAAGAGCACATAGCCCATAGTACCAAACAAGAATATTTGAAGGATGTAATAAATCAAGGCTAAACTTACCTTTTGTAGGATATGGTTTTGCAACAGATTGATCATAAGTGCCAATATCAACAGTTTCAGATTGCTGGAAAGGCACACAAAGAAAATAAGTGCTTAGCTCATGGTAGAAACATTTATATGTTTGAAAAAGAAAGGTCACCTGCAGAGGCTCATATGAATCGTAAATGAGATGAAAATAAGAACTAGTATTGCAATCTTACAGTTGAATTATCATCACTCAGAGATTGCATCAATTGCCTCTTGAACGTCTCCAGCTGTAAACAATTAAGTAAGCTTCAGACCAAATATATAGCATAAAAGCTAATTTTAGAAACCAAAGAAAAGATCAAACGACATATGCAGATACACTAGAGATAGATTAAAAATTGCATGTTTCATATTCACTATCAAGAACAGATGACCTTAAAAAGTGTGCCTAAGCATAGAAAGCTTCAGAGAGGTAGGAGGACAACAGCTGAAAGGGAAACAAGTATAAGAGGGTAAAAACACTCTGTGTGGTTTGTTTGCAAAATAGTAACGACAATAAGAAGTATCAACAATCTTTGCAATATTCAAGTTAAAGCATTTATGCATTTTATTTATGTCAAACAAACAGAGTGTAAATTGTAAAATACGACAAATTGTATTTGGTAGTTTGTTTAATAAATTGTTCCTATGGAAAGACCATAAATTGTCAAACATCATTCAGACAAAGCAAACAAACCTCCTACTACAAATTCTACTGATAGACTGCACATATAAATATAAAAAATAATCCTAATGTTAAGGACAGCATTAAACATTGCAAGTTTCATTCTACAATAGTAGACAAGTGTAACGAGTACCTTTTCTAAATCACGACCAAGCTTCTTTGCCGTCAAAGTGAGTGAATTTTTCTCCTTCAAAAGCTTCATCTTTAATTCCCAGAAGTTGTGAAACAAACAAACAAAAAATGTCATTACAATCTTACAGACATACCAGGAGAAAAGGGGGGGCTTTTGGAAATGAAATGCTACATACATTGTCTTCGCGAGTGATTTTCAATCGCAATTCGGTTTCCTGATAGGCTTGCTCGAGGTTGGACACCTTGTCCTCGAGCTCAACAATAGCACGGTCTTTGTGATGAAGCATTTCGCGAAGCCGGCCCACCTCGGACTCGAGCTTGGTCACGCGGGACGCGATCGCCATTGAAGTGATCTTCCGGGCCAGATCCAACTGCTCATAGGGGTCCGTCGGAATAACCGATAACACCTCGTCCGACAAAAGGAAGTCAGCACCAGTGGCCAGAGTCCGACTACTTTCGCTGCTGCTCTGTGACATCCCCAATTCCTAAACCCTAATTTCAATATATTTGAAATATGTATAAACTAATTAAAGAGATTTAGCAAGAAGCGTAGAGGATAATCGGAGAGGAGAATAATTCAACGACGGCGGAGAATCCGACGAGAATGACAGTAAAGCGTTTTGCTAAAAATTGAAATTTTAATGTCGGGGGGTTTAGTGGACAAAAAATGAAAATTAAATCATTGTGTAGTACGGATTTGAAAATATATTTCGGGTTTTCCCTCCAAAGCACAGCTGTGATGGGACAGCTCTGGGCCCAGAAATTGGAAATGCCCAATAGTAGCTTTTGTTGTTAGACCCAACAAAGCAATGCAAATTTAGGCCCATATTTGTGTCTACGCTTGGGCTAGACATTGAAGAAATAAAAAATGCCGAAACGTAATCAAATTAATCAAATGCCCAAAAAATCCCACATAACTCTTATTAATTCAGAGCATTTTACATGACACCTAGAGGCTAGAGTTGTTATACAAGGTGCACCATCATCCTAAACGATGTATACATTATGTATTTATAATATTAGAATTGTGAACTTTTATAATATAAATTGTATTTCTAAATTTAAACACATAACAGGATAATTTATTAAATACAATACAAGGACATCAATATTATGCGATTGTAATATTTAAAAGGAACTTGTGAATACAAAACAAAGTAATTAATTACATTTATGTTAACATTGTATGTTTCTAGTATACAAATTGTGTAATGTTAAAATGTAAATTGTGAATATTTGGACTTGGGTTCACCTTGCAAAATTTCAAAAATATAATAAAACATAAATCTAAGATTAATCTAAAACTCTAAAATATAAAAGAAATGAGTAGAAAATGACTAGGGCTCAACTATGTGACATGAAAATAAAGTTGAATTAGTGCTTAAATAGATGGCAAAGCACTGTAACGTTGGATGACTGGTGGACGGGAGTTCAAGAGGTAGTTCAATTCATTCCAGAGTACAACAAAAGTTGAAGATTTGGAGTAGTATTGGACGGCCCGGTGGACTGTCGTCTAAGTGGCAGTCCAACCCCCTTCCATAATGCTCAGAAACTTTATTTGCATTGCCTCAAGCACGACTATGCACTTTCCCGTGTATTTTGACCTTCAAATTTTCATAATTTGATTTGGTTTTCATACAAGTTGTATCCTTTTGCGATTTCTTCTCAATAACACTATAATCATTTCGTTTGGACGTTTTATACGTTAAGATATGATCCAAATATTGAGCAATCGACAAGTTGTGCAAGAATTCCAACTTCTTGTTAATTGTTATGTATTTTGTTCCATTTTTGTCTTGATTTGTCATTGTGATAAAAATCATTGAAAACACCACTTGTTATTAGCTCTCTTTCAAATATTTTAACCATTTTCTTAGCTCTAATTGACTCTAAATGTATCTAAAATGCTCTAAAAATTATTCACTTCTACTCAAAGATAATGAATTGTACACAATTGATCAATTAAAAAAAATAAGGATCATTTTGGACACAATTGTAACACTTCATTTATTTAATCTTATTAATATTGAGGATATTAAAAAAAAATAGCTAATGATTTCTTATATATTTGTTTTATGTTTACTAAACTATCAACAAATAAGGCAGTTCATGTGTTAATTAGGAAAGTTGTTTTCATTGCGAATCCTAATGAGTGGAGAACTGTTATATTGCTTATAATTTACTGCATGATGTATTTGCCGCTGATATTCATTAATGTCATTGTTATTATCATTATATTATTACTAGTAATTGTCCCGTGCGATGCACGGATAAGAATTATACAATGTTAAGTTGTATAATGAAAGACAACTGCTTTGTTCTTAATTTTAGTCGATCATTTTCTTTTCCATCACTACGTATGTACGTACACCCTTACCTTTATAGCGCTTCTTAATTTGAAAGTTGATAAACACGCCCAAGAATGTACACACTCATGCTGGAAGAGGATTCTGAGCCTCAAAGAAGCAATTGGTTTTGCAAATGTTTGTATTCGAAAATTAAGTCTATATTATATAGACTTTAGTTAATAGGTAATGGAAGAAATGTTTTTTTTTAATAAACCTTTCTTCTTGTTCATGGTGACAAGTTTCTTTCCTTCTTGTTCATGGTGACAAGCTTTATGTTTTTTTTTCTCCTTAGCTTCTTACTCAGCAGCGAATCATTATTACCCCCTTTTCAGCTTTTACACAGTTTTTTCATGCAAACCCTCCAACAAAATATATTACTGTTTCATTAACTTCTTCTACCTACCCTTCCCCTTTTGCATTAACTCCTCAGAGTTAAGTGTAAGCCTCCTTTTTGTAGTGCAGTTCCTCACATTTGTCTCTTACTAGTATCCTTTGAGCCTCATTCTCTAGTTGTGCTTCCTGTTTCTCGAATCTGTTTTCACCTTGCGTCCCCCATGGCCTCAAGCAGTTATGATCCCTCTAACATTGATGAAGCTTACGCTTCTATGTCCATTCATGATGATGAAGATTTCTTGGTGAACTTGGAGGAAGATCCTCAAGCTGATACGAAAGTTGAGACTCCCTTTACTCTTGTGGGGAAACTTCTTACTGAGCGGCCTGTGAAATTCAACTTCCTCAAAGACACAATGGCCACTGTTTGGAGACCATGCAGAGGTATGATCGTTAAGGAGGTCACAACCAACTTGTTCCTATTCCATTTCTTCCACGAACTGGATATGGCTCACGTTATGGAAGGTGGCCCGTGGTCATTTGAGCAGTGTCTCCTAGTCCTTGAACAACTGTCAGATTATGAATCTCCCTTTGATGCTAAGCTGAATCGAGCAGATTTTTGGGTCCAGGCGTTCAATATACCATTGAGTCTGCAGAGTGAGCGCACAGCCCAAACCATCGGAGCATTCCTGGGCAACTTCAAGAAGGCTGATGTTGTTCAGTTTGATGGAACTTGGAAGGCGTTTATCCGCATAAGAGTGAGCCTGGATATCACCCGTCCTCTGAAGAGGAAGATGAAGGTCAAACCTCCCAGAGGAGAGGCCAGATGGGTCGAGTTCAAATATGAGAGGCTCCCAACCTTCTGCTTCCTATGCGGAATGATCGGGCATGGAGATCGTCAATGCCAGAAACTCTTTGAGTCGCACCCAGCCCCATCGGAACGTCCCTATGGGCCGGAGTTACGTGCTGCTGGCCGGAGATCTCGACCGTTAACGGGGGAGCGTTGGCTTCTGTCCACCCCACCAAGGAGAATGCCGAATACGGAATGCAATCAGAACACCTTTAACGGTTCAGAAGCGGTAGGACAAATGGATGTTCAGGTTAAGGAAACATCTCTCAACACGCTGATTAATGCTACTGATGGCATTAATGGTAGCAACTCTGATCGAGAGACAGCTGGAAAAGCCATTCTGAATGCTGAGGGGGTCCAGACTCATTTAATGGTAAATGACTCTTTGCATCCTAGCAGTCAATTCTCTTTTCTTCAATATCCACGCCAAACGGTCCAAGAGTTGGACTGGGTTATTCCTAACCCGAACGTTATTGGGCTGGGCTTACCTTTAAATGAAGTGTTGGTCCGTGATCCAAAAAGAAAAAAAAGAGACAGTGCTGAACAAGATGGAACCCAAATCATGGAGATGGAGCATGAAGATGAGTCGTTTAGTGGGCCAAAAAACTTGCTGGAGGCGGGACCTGGTTCTCAGGCCCGCCTATCTCAATGAGTCTTATTGCTTGGAACTGTCGGGGGCTTGGCAACCCAGCGACGGTTCAAGTTCTTGTGGACATTGTCCACTCCAAGAAGCCAGTTATTTTATTTTTAATGGAAACAAAACTTGTTACGCATAGAATGGAGAGTATCAGAATTAAGTTGGGCTTTGATGGGCTGTTATCAGTGGATGCTGTGGGTCAAAGTGGGGGTCTGGCCCTGTTATGGAAAAGAGATATTGAACTAAATATATCTACCTTCTCTTCGAATCATATAGACTCTCTTGTCCGTATGGACAACTCCCAGCAAGTTTGGCGTTTTACAGGGTTCTACGGACATTCGGAAAGGCAAAATCACCACCTATCTTGGAATCTTCTTCGAAGATTGGCTACCCAAGGAAATAAACCATGGATAGTCATGGGGGACTTCAATGACATCCTCAAGCCAAGTGAGAAATTAGGCGGAAGACCCCAACCTCAATGGTTGCTTAAGGGATTCAAAGAAGCAGTGGAACAAAGTGGATTGAGTAACTTTGAATTTAGTGGGTATCAGTTCACCTGGGAGAAAGGAAGAGGGACTAGAGATTGGATCCGCGAGAAACTAGACCGAATCCTTGTAAGTGACTCGTGGGCCGAGCAGTTTGAGGAAGCGAAGGCAACCTCTTTTGAAGCTTTACAGAGCGATCACTTACCTATTGCTATATGGCCTATCCCCTCGGTCCGACAGCGTAGGAGAAGACGGTTTAGATTCGAAAATTGCTGGGTTAAAGAGGCTAGATGCAGGGAAATTATCAACTATAGCTGGGACTCTTCTGTGGGTCTTGAACTGTGTACTAGATTTGATATGTGCGGTGAAGCCATTTGGAACTGGGGGAAGAATTATCACAAAAACTTCCAACCTCGAATTGATGCATGCAAGTCCAGACTTCAGTTTCTCCGCGATAGAGAGGATGTTCGTGGTATTGAGGAATTCGCTGCTATTCAGAAATCTTTGCTCCATCTTCTTAATCAACAAAATATGTACTGGAAACAACGAGCTAAAGTATTTTGGCTCAAGGATGGTGACTGTAATTCAAAGTTCTTCCACAACTCTGTTAGTAAGCGCAAGAGGAACAATTCTATAAAGAGGCTCCGGGACGAAGCTGGGAACTGGACTCAGGAAGAGAAGGAAATTCAGAATCTGATCAAGGATTATTTTCTAAAAATCTTCACTGCCTCAAGCGGTGATCAAATTCCTGTTCTCCAAGAGATTCGCAAGGGGGTATCAGCTTCGCAGAATGAGGCCCTTATGAGAGCCTTCACCAGAGAGGAGGTCAGAACTGCGGCCTTCGGGATGCATCCGGACAAGAGCCCAGGTATTGATGGCTTAAACCCCGGCTTTTTTCAAAGTTACTGGGATATTGTTGGGGATAGCTTGACCTCTCTTTGTAATGAGTTCCTTAGGACAGGCAAGTTCCAAAAGGGACTAAATCAAACCCATATTGTT